GGCCCCGAGACGTTGTGCAGGATCCGCGGACGGGCTGCCAGTGGGTACGGAGGTGAGGAGCAATTTGCGTAGGGTCAAAGAACCAGGGGATAGATAGGTAGCCTGCTCGAGGCGTTAAGTATGACTATGTTCGAGAGATATCGATGTTCTTTACGAGAGAGACGAAGAGTGAGTGAGTCCGTTGAACGAAGAGACGCGAGTGCGAAAGCGCCAGTGTCCACAATATTTAGCGCCCATATCCTGGAGACTTCGCCGCTTCGCGCCGCGAACTACTATACTGTGTCCGCCACGTCGTATGCGCCATAAACTGGCGAGGAGTCTTGGGCAAGTTAGTCCACTGAAACAATTCAGCGATGCCGATACTACCCATAGTCCTGCCTGTTTGCCGCATGAGTTCAGCAACTTACTACTATGTACCAACTTACAGCGTAGCGCTCACTTCCATCCGCAACTAAATATAACTCTTCGAACGCGATGCATATGTATATGCAAATCTTACGCGTTGTTCCCCGACGTGATTCACAGAGACAGAAGATCACACAAGGACCCACAACAGCAGCAATATGATATATATTACCAAACCCACGACCCGCGTCCCGCCGCGCCCTACGCGAGCTCCTCCACCGCGCTCGAGAACGTCATCGTCGCATTCAGCCTGCGCTCGTACTTTCTCCTTACCTCGTGCAGCAACGCGCTCACGCCCGCGAGCAGCAGCAGCGTCGAGAGGTCCGCCATGTCTAGCGCCTCCGTCTGGAACACGCTCTGGAGCGGCGGCGCGTAGACGAGCGCGAGCTGCACGACGAACGACGTCGAGACCGTCGTGACGAGCATCCGGTTCTGCGCGAGGCCGCACCCGAGCCCGCGGTTCTGCACCGCGGACACGAGGTCGAGGAACACGAAGCATGTGAAGGTCTGCGGGTGCGTAGCGGAGAGGCGAGGACAGGCGAGGATAGGAGAGGATAGCATAGAATAGGATAAGAGGAGAGAGGGCAATGTTTGTGTGAGCTAAAAGGTCCATGAGGCTAAGTCAGGGCACGCACCATAGTCTGCTCGCGGCGCGTCATGCCCAGCTCGTCCGCGAGCGCATACAGGTACACGAAGAGCGTCCCGACGACGATAATCGACGCGGAGAACAGAACGCGGTAGACGAGCCGCCGGCTGATGATCGGCGCGTCCTTCTTGCGCGGCGGCCTGCGCATCACCTGCGGGTCGACGGGATCGACGCCGAGCGACTGGCTTGGGGGTCCTACATCCATCACAACCTGTCAGTACGCGCAGCGGTCGACAAAAAAGGCGGCGGCTGACCGTCCATGAGGATGTTGATGAAGAGGATCTGCATGGCGTTGAGGGGGTTGCTCAGCCCGAAGAAGGTGCTGAGCGTAATCAGCGTAAGCGCAGCGCATGCGGTGCTCAGCTGGAACGCGAGGAAGTTTTGGATGTTGTGGAAGATCGATTTGCCTGCATGCCGTCGTCGTCAGCCACGACTGCCTCACAGAAGACGAAAAGTCCGGTAACGCACCCTCCTCCACCGCGGGTAGGATAGTGGTAAAGTTGTCGTCGACGAGGATCATGTCCGCCGCCTCCTTCGCGACATCCGTGCCGCTCTTGCCCATCGACACCCCGATGTCCGCCATCTTCAGCGCCGGCGCGTCGTTCACTGCAAACCGCCCACTCATCAGCACACACCCACACACCCGCATGCGCACACCACAAGCAAGACGACCGACCTCCGTCCCCCGTCATCGCCACAACCGCGCCGCGCGCCTGGAACGCCTCCACGATCGCCATCTTGTGCTTCGGCGTCGTGCGCGCAAACACGCTCACGCCCCCGACCGCCTCCCGCAGCTGCACCTTGCTCATTCTATCAATCGCGCGCCCCGTCAGACACCCGCCGTGCCCCGCCACGCGCAGCCCGAGCGCGCGCGCGATCGACAGCGCCGTCTCCTCCGCGTCCCCCGTGATCATCACAACCTGCACACCGCCGCTCTGCAGGAGCCCGATCGCGTCCGCGACCCCGCGCCGCGGCGGGTCGAGCATCGCCTGGAACCCCACGAACACGAGGTTCGTCTTCGCCCCGTCGCCCGCGGGCGTGCCCGGGGTGCCCGCGCGGCTCGACGGCGCGGTGGGCGCGGGCGACGCCTCGACGGGCCCGTACCCGTACGCGAGCGCGATGACGCGCAGCCCGCGCGAGGCGGTCGCCTGCGCCTTCGCGAGCACGACCGCGCGCGTGCTCGCGTCGAGCGCGGGCGTGCTGTCGTCCGAGACGTAGTAGAACTTGCAGCGGTCGAGGATCGCGTCGATCGCGCCCTTGATGTAGTACATCTCGCGCGGCGCGGTGTTCGCGGTGAGCCCGTTGGCGGCGGGGGCGCCGTGCACCCCGCTGACGGCCATGTACTTGCGTTCCGAGCTGAAGGGGAGTTCCGATTGGCGCGTGAAGTCCTGTGCGGGGATGAGGTTCACAGATTTGGGGCGTGGATGAAAATAGACGTACCTGGCGTTGGTCGGTGAGCCCGAATAGTGGGAGGACGTTCAGCAGTGCGACGTCTGTGGACTGTCCGACAAACTCCCCGTTTTCGTCCCGTACAGCGTTGTTGCATATCGACCCAATACTCAGTGTTTTGAGTAGAGACAGGCTAGGCTGTGTGGTCGGCGCCGCGGGAGAAGACGCATCGAGAGAAATGGTCTCGTCCACGGAATAGACTTCCGTTACCGTTTGCTCGTTCTTCGTGAGCGTCCCTACATTGCATACGTCATACACTCCAGCAGACTGCGCAGAAGAGCTGAACATACCAGTCTTGTCTGAGCAAATAACGGACACTGAGCCGAGCGCCTCGACAGAGTGCAGCTTCTTCACGATCGCTTTGCGCTTGGACATGCGCAGCACCCCGAGCGCGAGCGTCACGGTGGTGACGATCGGCAGTCCTTCCGGGATGGCCGCAACCGCCAGTGATACTGTACTTCGCCACCGTCAGCCTGTTCCGGCGCGCGCAAGGGAGAGAGGATACGCACCTCCGATGGTGAACATCTCAAGCCATGACCGCTTTTGAACGACACCGATGAGACAGATGATACCAATGACGCCGAAGGAGATCAGGGACAACTTCTTCGCCAGCTCGTCCATGCTTAGCTGAAGAGGCGTCCGCTTCTCTTCGACCTAGCCACACGGTCAGTGTCAGCTCATTCGACGCGTGGAGTGGTTCCTCCAATTCTTACCTCCTGCATCATAGAGAAGATCATCCCAAACTCTGTCTGTGTTCCGGTCGAGATCACGACGCCGGCACCCCGACCTACGGGGTCTTCAATATCCACTCTCGTATATCGTGCTCGGGACGCTTACCATTACGCACGAGGGTGCCCATGTAGGCAATGCACGAGCGTTCTGCCAACGCTACTGGCTCACCTGGCGGAACATACCCATTCGCGTGGGCAGCTGCATGTCCGTTCGCGTGTCCGTTCGCATACCCATTCGAAGCAGCGACGAGAGTGCACGTCTCCGTGTCCTTTCTCCGCGTCGTCGTCTCGCCTGTAAGGCTGCTCTCGTCTATCTCTAGGTCTACTGCGGAGATCAAACGGACGTCCGCGGGCACGCGGTCACCTGTGGTGAAGGTGACAATGTCTCCCGGGACAAGCTCGTTGGCCAGCATGTGGAGGGGTTGTCCGTCCCTAAACAGACGGCGTGAATACCACGCAATAGAGGTGGAGGCGCGTTTGACATACCGAATGAGATGGCAGTGGTGCGGTACCAGCTTGTTCAGAGCCTCTAAGCTCTTCTCTGAACGCTGCTCCTGCACGAACCCGACTGGAGCGCGTCAGCACACTCGCGTTTGCATTCGGCGACGCTACCCACCGGTCAACACGATGAGCACTGCGATCGTGATGCTGACCGAGTCGTCAATGTTGCCCATGACCGCGCTAACGATAGCGCTGCCACATAGGAGCAATATGAGCGGGTTCTCGTATATCGTCTTCGCAAACTTGATCAGCACCGGTTCCGGTGTCGATACCGTGAACTCGTTGTATCCATGAGTAGCCAGGAGCTCTTGCACCCGCCGTGACGAGAGACCGCTCGTCGCGGACGTGGCATAGTGCGCGAGGGTGTCCTACGCGCTGTTAGGTTGTGGCGCACCAAAACGCGGGACGACGGACCTGTATCGAGCTGTGCGCGAACCGCGCGGACGCGCTCTCTTTCTGCGTCTGACGGTCGTCCCTGTGCGTCGGTAGCCGTTCGTACTGGTCACGCTCGCTGAACGCGGAGACGAGTCTCCCCACCGTCCTGTCCCAGAGACCCTTCGCACCCTCATGTTCTACGACCGTCCGAAGTTCGCCGAGTGTGGTAATACCGGAGCCAGGTGGCGGATGGGGAAGTCCCAGGGGGCCTTCTAGTGTGTGCCGTCTCAGTGTGGTGCTGTAGGCAAAGTGCGCGCCGGTGTCGGAAGAGGTAGGCTGTGGTTCTTCATGATGGTCTCCGGAAAAGTGAGAGAAGTAAGCGGAGGCGGGCGGAGACTCGCTGCGATAGTTTGTGTACGCGGGGGAGCGTGGGTTCACAGAGAACCTCGCGCGCGTAGAAGAGGTTGAGCCGGAAGATGCAGATGGACCAGCGTAGTCATTGGGCGGTGAACGCTTCCTCTCTAGAGCCATGTTCGGCGAGTTTCCCAGTCCAAGTGAGTGGACGGAGGCGGGAGAGCACGATGAGCGCACAGCTCCAGCTGCGTACTCCTGAGTCCGTTCAAGATATTATAGCGGAAGTGAGATTACAAGCGAGTTAGACCACAGAAGCGTCGAAGCCTTAGATGATGAGAAATATGACGAGAACGAGGAGGAGGAGGAGGAGGAGGAGGAGGATGGGGACGACGAGGATGAGGAGGAAGGACTCTAGTACAGAATCTCTAATATTAATGAGGGGGGCGACCACCGTGGGAACGTCTTAAATTACCCGCTGGTATGCTTTCGTTAAGTACTACGTGTCAACTAAGTTAGTAGTTCCAGCAGCGTAAAATAATTGGCCGGCGCCGGGGTCGAACCGACGACCTTGGCACAACAGCGCCATGCTCTAACCAGCTGAGCCAGCCGGCCATGCGCGCCACCGGGCGCCTACGCACGCGTAGCCTCTCTGCCTCCTACTCTCAATGATCGGCCTGGACGCGAGGGAAGAGGGAGAAGTTGTATACTACGGTGCTCCAGTCAATGGTCGTTTGTTTCCTTTAATTGAAATATACTAATATATGACTCTTTGCAGACGAGACCTCACGTTCACTGCCCGTGTACGTGGTGAGAAATTTATGAACGCCCGCCCCCGGACAGCCAGTCGGAGTCGATCCGAATTCCGCCCGCCCGAATACCAATCCACGCCAGCTTATGGTATGTCGGACCGACGAAAGTAGCCTCGGTTATGTCTGCTTTTCGTAACAAGGAGCTTCTATGGTCGCCTGTGGACGACACTTACCTACAGCCTGGCGTTTAGCCTCTCGGATCTTGGAATGGGGTACGGCTCTCCTCGTACCCGACCGGGGCCCCATACCACCCAGCCCGCAACTGCACATGCCGCACTCGGAAGAGCACCATGGAGCCATCTCCGTCTGCGGACGCTCGCAACCGCCTTTCGGGGTGCATGCCTTATCGCACAGCACCTGTGCATATCCGCCTCGTGTCCGGTGTGTCTTCTCGGCGAGCCTTCCGCATGTCTGAACATACATAAGGCCCGCCTCACCACGTCCTTGCGTTCCCTCATCTATTCTCAACCCAAACCACGCCCCTGCTAAAGTCTGCGACTTGCCCACCTCGACATCGACCTGCCTTATCAGCCCTCGCCCCAACCTCGTCATTATCCACACCTATCAACCTTCACACCTTCACATGTCCGCTGCCATCACCACCACCACCCTCCCCGCACTCGCCATCCCGAGCAAATCGCGCCCCAGCGCGACATACCCCTCGAGCCCTCTCACGGTCTTCCCGCCCCCGCCCCCAGCACCCGCCATCAGGCGCCCTCTCCGCGAACGCTGCGGGATGAACCTCACACTCCACATCGACAACCCCGCACTCGCTTTCAAAAACTCGAAGCTCCCCGGCCCGTGGTCACCAAAGGGCCACCTCCAGCCGCACCGCAACAACCTCCCCCGCCGCCGGAATCCGAAACCCTCGTTCGTAACCTACCACGACAAGCAGCTCGCCGCGGCCCCACCCAAGCCCGCGCCCGCACCGGTACCCATCTCCGCCCCAGCATACGAGTTCAGCCCCCCGCGCTCGAGCGAGCCCCACCTACAAGCCATCATCCCCGCCCTCTGGGTCGCCTTCGCGCAGCCAGGCCGGGCCTACGAAGCCGGGTTCACCCACATCGTCGAAATCACGCACGGCCCCGCCCCCCAGGGCCACAGCGACACACAACGCACGCACTCCTCAAAGGGCGGCCCCCACCGCCTCCGCCTCACCCTCCCCGCGTCCGCCCTCCGCCACACAGGCCGCGCGGCGCTCGCGCTGACCGACGCCCAGCTACGCGCCGCGCGCGACTTCCTCGTGGAGTGTCTCCCGGGGAGCGTCGCGGCGTTGCCCGAGCTCGCGCAGGGCGCGGTGCGCGCGCTCGTGGTGACGCCGCGCGGGCTGCCGACGGACGCGATGGCGCTCGTGGGGTGCTACCTTGCGTGCGTCGCGGACCAGGGTGTGGAGGCGATCTTGCGGTGTGTGGATGAGGAGGAGAGCGTGTTGAGTGTTTGGAAGGGGGAGGTGTCGGGGGATGAGACGGAGCGGGTGCAGGGGATCGCCCGGGAGTGAGCAGCGCTCTGGTGTGCGTACCCGCGGCGCGGGTGTGATTGTATTACCATGTTGTACAACATAGGGTCTTGAAAATTGTATCCATATCTATCTATGCCGTCAACGTTCAAGACACGCGTACGCCACCGTTGCACTTCTGAGGGCTTGCAGACTATTAGTACTAGCTAGTCCGAGTCGCGCTTTTTATGGCTACTAGAACTTCCCGCCGAGCCAGCTTCAGGGCACGGCATCTCCCGGCGCCACAAAGCTACCGCGTAGAAAACGTTTGGTAGTATTACCGTAAGTTCGTGCCTGCATCGGCTCTCGCAACCCATGTATCCATTGAACGCCGCCCGACAAGGACGAGCCGGCGAGGCTGTCGACACGCACAGCGATATCCCCATCCTCAGATATCTCTGGCCCACATTGGCCTCCTTCGAGCGTCAGGGTGGAGGGCGTTCTCCTGCTTCGACAGTAATATTGTGCAGCTTATATGCGCCCAATATACGATCTGCGCGGTTGACACCTTTTCACACCGACGAACCATCGATTTCGCATTATACATTGCATCCCTTGCTGAGATCTCAAGATCAGGCTCGAACGGGCATCGCCAATACATACATACATTCATTCACATCTCTCCATCTTCATCCTTCGTACTCACCCCTCCTCTCTCACCCAACTCACTCCCACCCTCATACCCCTGGCCGCTCACCCACCGCTCACGGCAAGCTAAGCACCGTCTGCATGAACTGGTCGTAGTTGATCTGCACCCAGCCGTCGCGGTCCGTGTCCAGCCGCTGGAAGCTCTCCGTGACCTGCTTGATCACGACGCACGCGCGCACGAAGCGGTCGAACGTGATCCCCGGCAGCGGCGCGCCGCGCGCGGGCGGGCCGGAGCCTTGCAGCACGTCTGCCCCAGGTGCGGGCGGCGGCGAGCGCGGCGGGGCGAGGTGGCGGGGAAGGCGCGGGCAGGGCGGTGGAGCATCGGGGGGGCGGGGGAAACATGGGGAGAAGGCATCGGGGGGAGGACACGGGCGGGGAAAGCGGGGGGAAGGCATGAAGACGCGTCGGACGGGGACAGGGGGACGCGGTGCTCACCGTACTTGCGCTCGACGAGCTGGAGCAGCTGCGGCGAGAGGTTGTACCCGAACTGGCGGAGCGCGTCCGCGAGCTCGGTGCGGTCGATCGACCCGGACTGGTCGCGGTCGAAGTGGCGGTACACGTTCTGCCAGTCCTTGATGTACTTCCACAGGCCCGAGAACTGTCGCGCCGCAAGTGCAGGTCAGTGCTCCGTACTATCGCGCGCGGATGCATGAAGGGGGGAGCGTGCCTCGTTGAACCCGATCGTGCCGCTGCGGTCGGTGTCCTGTGGGCGTGTCACTGTCAGCGCGGCGCGGGTACGACGGTGGAAGGGCACTGACGAAGATCGACATCAGGAGCTTCACGGTGTCCAGGTCGAACGCTGTGGGTACGGTTACGACGGCATCGCGCGCGCGATGTACGCGGGCTGCTCACGGGTCCAGTCGCCATTGATGAGGGCCTTCTCTGTTGGCATACCGGGGTCAACACTCTGCACACACGCGCGGATGCGGGGGCACTCACGCAGCTCATGCACCGAGATGTGGCCCGATCGGTCCGTATCGACGGCCGCGAACCACGACCACAGCCTGCAGTGTATACATGTCAGATAGACTGGGACGGCTGCGTTGCGCGGTGCTCACTGGGGGTCTGCGCCCGGAGGAGGGCCAGCAGACACAGGGGCGAAGCCACCAGGCCCGGCTCCGCCACCGTAGCCGTGGGCGGGCGGTGGTGCGCCGTAGCCTCCTCCGTATCCACCGCTGGGAGGGGGTGCGCCGTATCCGCCGCCGGGAGGGGGTGCACCGTAGCCACCGCCGTATCCTTGTTGCTACAGACATGGTACAGGTGATGTCAGCGATGCGATTTGAGAGATTGCGGGTGGCGCGCGGGATAGAGGAGAGTCACTGACTCCGTAAGACATGCTGCTTGTAGAGAGCGGGTGCTTCGCGTTGGGAAGAGGGCAAGAGGAGATGTGGATGGCGAGAGCGCGGGTACGCCTTATATATGCGGTGTTGAGCGAAAGTGGGATCGCTGTGGCCGCTCGGAGTAGGTCCTAGGAAAGCTGTACGTGAAAGTGGCGAGTGCGCAGGGAGCGGTGCCACCGCCCCGCGCTAGCCTAAGCCAATATCCGATGCCATCACCTTATGTGTCTCTGTTAACCTCAACTGCTCGTCATATCATGGCCGACTAGCTCAGTTGGTTAGAGCGTGGTGCTAATATCTGTTACGCCAAGGTCGTCGGTTCGACCCCGGCGTTGGCCATACCTTTTGCGTACAAGTGCGTTGCGGGTTGGTAATATACAACTGCCTCACTAGGTCAATCTTTTTCGTCGGTTTGTGCAAGCGACGATTGCAAGGTTAACGTTAGATTCAGGCGTTTATGTAACGAGAATCTGAAAAAAATGTCTTACGTACCAAGTGGCCAAGCAAACTACTAACCTCCCAACTATTGTGGGCCCAGTGGCCCTCTCGCGGCCTCCGATGCGTACTACCACTAAGAGTGTGTCATACACACCTTCCTTTTGAAAATTGGGCCCTAATGTTACGCTCGACACAGCCTAGGCTCGGAATTCGCATGATCGATTCAGTACTGCCGGGGGAGAACGCGCACAGCTGACCCGTGCAGCTGAACTTGTCCGTTTACTACTGCTACACCGTCAGCAAAAGCGCGAGCTTGATGTATGGCGCTGTAGGGCGCCACGGGGTCTGCAGACGCCGGTAGGAGCTCCGACGTACGAGATGGGCGGCAGGCAGAGGTCTACAGAGGTATGCGAGGATTAGTCTGACGGAAAAGGTCCTAGTCGCGGATCGTGGCACACCACGAATTTTATGCATATACATGTCATAGTTCGCCGCACTCCACCATCGTACTACAAAGCTTTATATTGATATGCAGTGAACAGGTCAGCTAGATAGATCAAGCATGTACTTAACGCCGAAGCTGCGCTGAAGTCATGATAATAGACGCCCGTAGGACGCCGCTGTACTCGCTCTCTCAATACTCTCGACTCAACTCGGACTACTCCTCGATCGATCCCCAGACGTCCACCGCCGGTGCCATTCCTTCACATTCGCCCTCATCGGGAACGAATCCTTTATAAAGCCCTTCGCCCTGAAAAGCAGCATCAACGTCTCTTCTTCCCGGACCACCACCTCCCTCCCCCCGGCCCTTGTGCTTTTGTGCTGTCTGCGCTAAGATATCAGCCACCAAGTTCCGACCTCCACAGTGCCCAACCACGCTGATAC